TTCATTATGCTTAAAGGTGCAAACATTATGGGGTTTATGGTCTCATTCATGCATTAAGTCATCTATTAAGTCCTTTTAAGCTTTAAGAGCTTCATTAAACCATGCATGCATGTGAAGTTGGGAACTTTACATAATAAGTTATCCCATGGTAGTCATATCTAACTTTTGGAGTGTTGTTTTAATCAATTAAGAGTTGGAAATGAATGTTAGCTAAATGAGGGAGTACGTTGGGCATACAATTGCGCATACGAGATGAGTATTCCCCATGTAATCAACAGTTTGTGCCTCGAAATCTTAGGTCTTCGGTTTGCGTCATTTTTGGACTTATGTGCTTTGGGCCTTGTTGGACCATCAGATTTCAAGTGTTTTTGGGCTAGGAATATTTTTGGACCTTGGTTTAGGCTCATAAAAGGGTTTGTTCCCAATTTGGAAAATTGGGTCATATTTGGGCCTTGGGTGTTTATTTGGAATTTAGGCATCAGGATTGGTGGTTTGGGCCTAGGCTTTGGGCCAAGTTAGGCAAAGGGTAAAAAGGTCTTTTAACCTAGTTTGGACACTTAGTGTGGGTCGAGATGCGATTATTAATGGGTGATTATTTTGGGGGTTGATAGCACGAGGATCTTAGCGGGACATCAATAGTTATTCTTTCTGTAAGATTAGGCCGTGTGAAGTGAGTTTCCTCACTATGTTTAGCGGGTTGAAGGCACAATGCCGGTACATAGTTTATTATGCTTAGTATGCTTGTTGTGTACATGAATCTTGCATGGGTTATGTATTTAATGTTACCGAGTAGGGCTCGATGTCGGGCGGGGCCCAATGCCAGGCTGGGTCTGATGAGTATACTGTTTGCTAGTTATCTATATTTGTTTTTATGAATACCGGGTACGAACCGATGCCGGGCGGGGCCCGATGACCATTATGTATGCTATGTATCTTTGTGATTATTGCATGTGTTATGTGTTTATATGTGTTATATGTTTACTGGGCGGGGCCCGATGACTGACAAATCTGTATATCGAGCAGGGCTCGATGTCGGGCGGGGCCCACTATATGTTTATCTATGTATGTATGGTATGTTGTATTTTTAGGGAACTCACTAAGCTTTGTGCGTACAGTTTTCAGTTTATGTTTCAGGTACTTCAGTTTTCAAATGAAAGAGCTCGGGATGATTGTAGAGCACACACCACCCCGTTCTGCATTTTCTCGATTTACTCTGATATGATGTGATGATTGATACATTTGTTTTATCTGGATTTTTATGATGATATTTCTGGATTACTGATTTTATTAATTTAGAAATGAAATTTTTGAGTCTTATTCTTGAGATGTTACAAGTGCACTAAAATTATGTTGTTGTTTAGGAATTCTTTAGTCAGTTATCTTGGTCCTATTAATCTTATATAATTTGTTTAACAAATATAATTTATAAAAAAACATATTATACATATAAAGTATTCTTACAAATAAATTCAAAATATTTCAATGTATAAATACATACTTTACAGTTTACATACATATAAAGTATTTTTACAATAAATATATGGCTTTTTTTATATGAATACATATTTTTATATTGAAAAACATAATTTGGCGGTTCGATTATACATTATTATATTTAAGTATATAAATACATAATACTTAGTTATCCAAAATATGGTTTCTTTGTACTACATGATGAGAGAAGAAGTTTAACTTCAATTTAAAAATAATAGATAGTTAAGTGTTTTTATATTTATATATTTAAATATATTAAACTCATAGTCACTCATATATATATATATATATATATATATATATATATATATATATATATATATATATATATATATATATATATATATATATATATATATAAAACTACGGTTAAATTAATGGATAATGGCATATTTATGCATTTATACATTTAAATGTCATAATATACAATAAATAACCCGTATATAGTTTTCAGATGTCAAATTATGTATTTATCCATCGAAATATCAAAATATATATTAAATTGTCATTTTGGTGGCTTAACGGGTAAGGCTTGGCCACTCTAGAGGAAAGTCTCGGGTTTAAATATTGTGGTTTTAATCAATGTACAACCAACGAAAATGTACTATGTTCTAAAAAGGAAGTGATTAGTATCATCGTAAAAACGAACCATTTCCCCTAAACCTTGTGATACCGGGGAACTGCAATGGAGGATATGGAATCAATTTTTATGTAATAATATGTATTTTTTGAAATTGTATATTTTTTAATAAATTATATAATATTAATGATAAAATATGTATAAAAAAGTTTAAGAATATCATATACACAATAAATAATAAAATCGATATCTGGAGCCCCATGACATGTGGATAGTAACATATGATTTAGGGTCACACAATACTATTTTTTAAATAAAAAATGAAGTTTAATGATTATAGATATACGAACGCTATAATAGAATTCTAATTCTAATCTTCTCTACTAATAAAACAGTACTAGAAATGCCACCTGGCATTCCCTTAGCCACTCACCCTTGCATTTTCCCGCTCAAAAATTATAAGTGAAGTTCCCACTTCGCCCTTCTATTCTCAAAAATAAAACTGTACACATCAGGAAACATAAATCGTCAATCAGTAAATATATAAATCAGGAAATTTCAAATTTAATTCGGTGGAATATTGAAGATCAAATCAATCCCAATAAATCAGGTAATCAATTTAAATTCCATTTTATATCAATCCCAAAAAATCAGGAAATCAATTTAGGAAGAGATGATATATTTCAATACAATTTCAGAAGTCAATACGATTTTAAGGGTCACGTATTCATCATCAGGTCAGCAAAACTACATTGCTCTTTACCTTTTAGATGTTCTATTTCATCTACATTCTTAATCGATTTCATCACTTTTCCCTCTATTTTTTTACCTGTTATGTATAAGAGTTTGATACATTGGTATTTCTTTATGTATATTCTGGTACATATAGTCACGATCTGTGTATGTCGATTTTTGGTTTTCTTAATATGTGTATCTTATATAACTGTATGTGATACATTAGAGTCATAGGACCATTCAATTTCTTCTACACCTATTTGCTTCCTCCAATGATTTGGTCCATCTAAATACTTAATCGTAATTAGGGTATTTGGATGGTTAGACCAATAATTCTTCCATAATGATTTTTCTTACATGACACGTTTTCTGAAAACTTGAAAATACTTTTATCAGTTGGTGGTTTCTTTTAACATCATATTCATATAAACTACAAACCTGTTGAAAAAGTAACTCAAATTATCAATTCATGTGATTTATCAAACCCGTTTAAATAATAAACAAAAAAATTACAAATTTCATTTTAAACTTCCTGTTACACTATATCCTATGTTTAGGAATCTACTCTCAAAGTACAATACTATATTTTGGAATTGATCATCTTTTAGTTTATTTTTCTAAATATATGTTTTATTGTCTATATGTACGTATATGTTTATATCTGTTTTTGAAAAGTATGTTTGCAAGTGATACAATTAAATATATAAATCAATCAGTGCTTTACGATTTTCCTGTTTATATCCTAATTTTTTTGTTAAATATACAGGTTTTTTCTGTTTAGTTTTCGATTTTTAGTTTTTTTCTCATTATATACCCTTAAGGGTATATCAGTAAATATGTAATTTTCTCATTGTTTTCTTGGTAACATCTACACTTAAATGATAAACAAAAGAATTGATTATTTCGTCTGATTTATCAAACCGTTTATATAATAAACAAAAAGTATCAATTTCTTTTTGAAGTTCCTGTTACACTATATCCCATTTTTAGTAATTTATTCTCAAAGAACAATGCTATAATCTGTAATTTATCATCTTTTAGTTTAATTTTCTAAATATATGTGTGGTTGTCTATGTGTGTGTATCTCTTTAAAAATTCTGCAATTTCATCATTTTATGACCCCCATTTGCGAAGTTGAGTATTTATTTCCAAAAATGCGAAACTCCAGGGACAATATTTGAAAATTTCTGTTTTCTTCCCCAATTCGCATTCTACTGTGAAATACTTCGCATCTTCATTCTTACACCCTTCGCATCCCTTCGCATTAATCACCTTCGCATTTTAACCTAATTAATCAAATGCGAACCACAAAATTTTCATTCCAGATGCGAACACAGTTTAGTTCTTGAACTCTAAACTTGCGAAATCAAAAATTCATATGTTGAACCCATATGCGAATATTAACCCAATTGACTTCAAATTGATTCACAGATGCAAACACTCGATTGTTTTACTTTCGCAAAATGAGCATCAACAACTCCACAATCGAGTTTTTAAATTCTTGCAAACAACAATTTCACAGTCCTTGACTTCGCGTTTTTCTTCACGAATCATCCCTCAATCATCAATCCAATTGCGAATCAAAACTCATATGTTCTTGCTTTATCGATTCATCGACTACACTCATACAAATGCGAACAATACTCAATTTCAAAATCGATTGAAACTTATAGCAAAGCTAAATCCAACTTCGCATTCAAAGCACACAAGTGTTATTGATTGCATTCATGAAATACTAACAAGATAATATATTATAATACAAATATACATATTTTAGGTGGTGAAATCGTAACAGCCTAACAATTTGGTATGCAACTTTATTAAATCAATAAAAAAAGTTATGCAAATTGGAAAAATAAATAAAAATATATCTTTTGTTGTTTTAATTAAGGAAATAAATATTTTATATGAATACTCACCTGGAAAAACGCATATTATAATTGTCTAATTTAATCGTAACAGCCTACCAATGTACTTTCTTCTTGACTGTTTGATTGTTTTTTTCTGTGTGCTGATTATAATTGTCTAATTTAATGTAATTTTTTTTTTTAACTTGCAAGGTACAATGGAACATATTACTCCTATAAAGGAAATTGACTCAATCAAGGACGATTTCACAATTAAAGTTCGGATCATACGTCTTTGGACTCAAAAGTCAAGATTTGATGCGAACGACACATACTCGATAGAAATGATTTTGATGGATGAGGAGGTATAAGATGGATGTATTCAATTATTATTTTTATAAAAAATTATTCATACTCATAAGCAATTATATTATTCATACTCATAAGCAATTATATTTAAATATTTATTATTTCATTTATTTTAGGGAAGGAAAATTCATGCATCATGTGTGAAGAAATGGTTTCCTAAATTCAAGCGCTATTTAAAAGAGGATAGTTCAATTTACGTCAAGAAACCTAACGTCGCACCAAATACTTCAAAATTTAAGTTTGCTCATCCGGAATCAAAACTAAATTTTTATCACGATACAATTGTAAAAGATTGTGAAAACTTTTCTGGATCTGCACATGGCTTTCATTTTGTTGACTTCAATACTATCGTTTCTAACAACATCCTGGAGTCAAACTCTTTTGGTTGGTTTATTTAATATTAACTTTTGCTATATAACATCCTAAATTCTTTCTTCGTATTACAATTTGATATTTTATATTAAATTATATTTCCTTGCTTTTGTAGATATTATTGGACACATTTTTGAGTATGGGCATATGGATACCTCAGAACAAGATAAATCAAAACACAAGATGCTCTTGCATCTTCAAGATATAGAGTATTCACCATTATTACAAACAAGTAATATAGCTTCATTTATATTATTTACAATATTTGTTTATTATTTCAGGGATACTAAGCTTAAGATAACTTTGTGGGGTCATAATGCATACTACATGCATGATTTTCTTGCTAACAATAACAGCCTTGCTCCAGTTGTTGTTATTGTTCAATTTGCCAGGGTGAAGTTTATTAATGGTTTGTAACTATTTTTAACAAGCATAATCTAATATATATATATATATATATATATATATATATATATATATATATATTATTGAATAATCAAATTTATTTTGGCAGGTCGTCCTTTTTCATCCACCTATCTTGATGTTAGTAGGGTTTTCATAAACAATGATATCGATGAAATTACAATCTACAAAAACAAGTATTTTCATTTAGAATTTCCTATGTATTATCAGATTTATTTATTTCATACTATAATAAATTTAAATCATTTCTTTGTTGTAAATGAACAGATTGGTCTCTGAAAATGGACAACAACTGTCATCAAGTGGAATTAAAATGATTGCATCAAAACAAGACACAGAACATGATGACTTTCTGAAAAATCATTTGTTTTCTAACATTGAAGACTTGTTTGAACCTTTGGAGGTACTTTACATTATTTTTAAAATTGTTAGTTTAATGCACTTATGTTTTTAAATTTTAAATGTTTTTTCATATTTAGAGTATATTGTTATAACTAAACTAAAATACACTTTCGCAAAATAACATTTATTAACAATGAGCATTATTTTAATATCCAGGAAAAGACAGTCATTATTGTTGGTACTGTTAAGGGAATACGTCAAAATATACGTTGGTATTACCTTGCTTGTAGCAACTGCAAAAAGTCAGCAAAAGAAAAAGAGTCTTCAACTGATAAGGTTGATGGTTCTCATGAAGTGGCCGAAATCGTTACTTATGAATGTGCTAATCTTAAATGCAAAAATATCAAAATTTCGGTTATTCCAAGGTATTAGATATTAATTTTATATAATAATAATATATGTTTATCATAATTGTCTAATATAATATAATTTTATACTTTATTTAGATTTAAAATCCCACTTCGGGTTCAAGACAACACAGGAACATTGACTTTAACTTTATTTGACCAAGAAGCAAAGAAGTTGTTCAAATACACAGCTAAAGAGTTGTATGATAAAAACAAGAAGGTATTATTTTATATTTTAACTTGGCATCAGTTTGGATTTTTTTCAAAAGGTGTTTACAATTGTGTTGGCCTAAAACTTGGCATTATATATTTTACATACAAATTTTCTAATGATATTTATTTACATTTTAGCTTGGCAACAATTTGGAATTGTATCCAATGGAGTTGAAAGTTGTGTTGGACAGAAAGTTGGCAATTAAGATTGATATCACACGTTACAATGTCGATAATAAAAGTAATCTTTATGGGATATCAAGATTAACCGAGAATGCAGACATAATGATGAATTGGAAAAAAATAATCTTACTCCACAGGTTTTTTTCAACAATTATATTTTGTTTTTTAACACATTGACCCAACAATATCTGACTCAATATCATTTGTTTTCATCTTGTGATGCAGCCTGCTAATTCTGATTCATTCTTGATTGGTTCTTCAGATGTTGGTTCTCATGACACCAAAGTTCTCAAGGTTTTAGTTTTTAAAATATATTTCTCAAATATTTTGTTTTAATTTATAACAACTAACTAAATATTTTTTTAGGATTCTTTTTCACAGACCGGTGAAAATTTAACTCCATGTGCTAGGGACAAGTCAACTGCAACAAGTCCTATAAAATTCATTTCTACACCAATTGAGTTGAAAAGAAACCTTGCTACATGCATAGATATTGATGAAATGGAGAATTTGTCTACTTCTAAATATCCTAGACTGTCACCACCAGATGAACAACCAACTCCTCTTTTGGTACCCAAGAAAGAAAAGTAAATGCATTTTACTTCGACAAACAATCTTACTTCGTGTTTAATTTTGATTTCGCATCATAGACTCCTAAGCCGTTTACGTTTTTATCTTTCTTGGTTTTGAATGTTTTTTTTTGGGATTTCATGGTTGTCATTTTTGTTTCTTGAAAGTACATTCGGACCATTGGGTTTTTTTGTAGTCCTATAATTTGGTTTGCCATGTTATTTTGTTTTTCCTACAACTTATTTTAAACTACATTGCTTTATTCCCACAAAATCTTGAAGAATTACATTCATATGTGTAATTATGCAGTTACTTATATGTTTCATTTTACATATCAATTTATTTGACATACCACTTTATTTTACCTAAATGTACTTCTGTATTTACACTATCTCTGTAATTAACTAACTTATTTACCCCTAATCAACTTAAACACATAATAACAATGTGTGTTTATATCAATAAACATCAGTTAAATAGCATTGTACTTTCTTTTTTGCTGTTTGTATTTCTTTTAGTTTGCTGATTTTAAATGTCAAGTTTAATGTAAACAACAAATTTTAAACTTCAGTAAAATTACCATTTATTTATGTCTTAAATGTATAACATATGTAAAAACAAATCCTTTCTTCTGAACAAAATAGTATGAGAATTTACCATTTAATGAATAAAAATTATATAAAATTGTCATTAAATGCAGAAAATTAAAATAATATGAAAATTTACTAATAACAAAATAATATATGTGCTAACTACTACTAAATTGCATTATGCATGTATAGTTATTATTTTCAGTCTCTGAGTATTAAGTTAGCACAATATAATTATGTCTTAAATGTAAAACATGTGTAAAAACAAATCCTTTCTTCTGAACAAAATAGAGAGCCAATTATGAACAATATACCAAACCATCTGTCAAATTATACTGTAAAAAAGAATTTCACATTTTGGTGTTGGATAGTTCATTAAGGATGAATTGTATGTTGGTGTTGGATTTTTATAATTTCACACTAGCTTTAAACTCGTTGAAACCACGGTTGTAAAAGAAAAACATAATTCATAATTAGAAATCATAATTACTAATCAAATATTCACAACAGAAATCGTCTCACTTAAGATCTTTTAACCGTTCCTTCTTTTTCCACCAATCATGGTTCATCAAACTAGACAAAGGACCCTTTTACCCATGTCCATAGAATAACCACGACTTCTAATTTTTAAAATATGAACTATAATATCAAAATTACATTGTTGTAATAAGAAAAAATAGTAATTAGAAGTTGTTTGGAGCAGCCTTCTTTTTTTTATTTTTTATTATAACATCGTACTTATAATTATTTTCTACTAGAGCATCTTGCTTTACAAAATATTGAGTGCTCCCATTTCACATTACATCATATATTATAGTCATAGCAATGAATTCAAGTTATGAATAGGAGTTACTATTTGTATCAAATACTGTATGGGTATCTAACCACTACTACTGTGAATGCTCCCATTTTAAGGCTTCAACTAAGCGTGTATTTTCATAATATTTTCATTTCACGTTGTCATAGCGGAGAAGAAATACGAAATAAACAATCCATTTTTATCATTTTTACCGAAATTCAAGCATGATTAACAACAATTTTTTTAATACTTTCAAAATTTTAAAACAGATTATGTTCCCTCCACAACATTTCAAAAACAAAAGTTCAAACCTAAATTAAAAGATTATAAAACCCTAACCTTATTTTAGGTCGTTTCCTCTGAATCCTCTTTGCTTTGACGATCGCAGCTTCGTTTTTGCATCCTTGATTCATGTTGTACTCTCCAATTCCCTACTACAGGTAAGCAATTCTTTAATGTTTAAAAATCGAAACTTTCAGTGAACTAAGAACTCGATTTGTAGAATACGTTCGTCACCGATCCCAATTTTTCTGACCTTAACAGATCTGTGACCTTGTGAGTTTAATAGATCGACATAAATAAATGAATAAGCTTTAACCCACCTATTTGTTTCCGTTCTTGATTTCTATCTACAGAGAGAAGTGCGATTGTTGTCTGTCTTTGTCTTTCAGACAGATATCTAAGCCTTGATGAGTAATTTCAAAAAACCATGGTTTATCTTCTAACTAAACAAAACTCCAGATTATACTTCATCATTATGTAAATTTACGTAAATGGTCCCTGTTTCATATTAATTGACAGATGTCTATTATATTACCTTGAGAATCATTAAAAAAAAGTTATTTACGTTTTATTTACTACCATAAAATAAGTCTAATAAGATGTTTTACTATTTATAGTGATTATTGTTTAAAATAGCCGCAAATAAGACATTAAATCTTCATTACAAAATATTTATACTCATATTTTTAATATTTTATGATACTTATTGCTACTTTTATATATATATATATATATATATATATATATATATATATATATATATATATATAATTATATTGTATTCATAAATTAATTTTAGTTACATGCATAATTGGTTATCAAGAATATTGTTTATATTTAATTACACATAAGAATTTAAAATGTTACCAAAAATTATTTATAGTCACACTAAAATTTTCTTATCATGACTATCGACAACTATTACTCACATACAAAACTTTAAACTGTAATAAAAAAAAGTTAGTTTTAATTTTTATCTTTTATCTTGACTATAATAAAACATTTGGTGACACATTTATTTTATACAATATAGTTTTTTTTTGTATTTAAATAATACTAATAATAATCGAAAATTAATGCATCCAATGAAATTGACTACCAAACACAACATATGTTTGCAAAAGTTAAAAGCAAGATAACTTTTATTATTTTATTAGAAGTGTTGTAAAAATTTTATTGCTCATCTTGATATTTTGAATTTCATTAGATTAAATTGTAGATACAATAGATCAATATTAATATTTATTTCATGTTCATTCCTTATCATGTACTCTAATAACTCTAAGAAAACTTAATATTTTCTAATTTAATAATACAAAAAATATATTTATGGTGTTGTGTTTATATCATACAACTATTAATTCTTTTTAATATAAATATTATTTGTTCATATTTTCTTTTATCAATGGTGTATAAATATTCAATAAATATAATTTGTATATTAAGGTATATAAAAAAAATAAAAAATATTTAAATGCAATCATATTACAAGAATTGACCGACTTATATAATTATATAAAACAAATTGCACTTAAATTTCATAATTTTTATTGCATATCATCTTTTTTTATAAAATAATTGTTCTTATTTTTTCAGATTGCAGACATATCATGAAGTCGTTTAATTCTAAAAAGAGTAGAAAATTAAATTGTTTTTATTTAGATAATAGAAATAACATTAATTTGTCTACTACATCGATCCATCAAACTTCAACCGCTACAAATTCTATTACTTCAGCTTACAATGGTATGTATTCTGTATTTCACAAAAAAAAATTAATTTTTCTTACAAATTTTTTTTGCTCTAAAGAAATCTTTTAATAACATAAAAATATTGCATAACTTATTTTCATATTATATAAATAATTTTTTTTATAACTTCTACATATTTTTAATATATATTGTTAAATTCATACTTAAATAAATATAATATCACGTTGAATCAAGTTCATAATCAAACAATAACATGTATTATTCCAACACTAATATGTATTAACATAATACGAAATAGAAAATAAGTTGCCTGCTTCACCGACAACGGAAGATTCATCAAATGTAATATTTGTTACCAACAGTTTGAAAGGTACATTTCTCTCTTCATTATTATTATTATTGATTATATATTATTTTCAAAAATTAAATGTTAACCAAATTTCAATCATTTATGATTTTAATTTTGATAGCAAACACAACTATTTACACTTTTATACATTTTATATCATATACTTTTATTCTTTATGCAGGAATAAACAATAATATGTACTACTTGCAAGCAAGAGAGAACAGAAGACATAGAAAATTATATTTGGATAATAAGAGATCGAAGAAAAGGAATACAAAATACACTGTTCAAAATCCGTCTACACCACATGTCTTGAAAAACACGGATAACTGTAATTTTTTTTTTTAAATTTTTACACTTCATTAACCTATATAAAAAATACATACATTCTCATCATTTTATATTATTCCCCTGTACTAATATAAAATTTGAAATTGTAATTTTTAATTTATAATATATGTCTTCAATTTTTATAACATGTTGTTTTTTACAGATCAATCAAAAAACGTTGTTCAACAAAATGAAAATGTCTGTTTCTATAGATCACGTGGAAACCAAAGTACACCCCTACAATCTTCTCCTTCATGTATAAATGTTAGAACTCCATTATCTAACATTTCAAACGGTAATAATATTTGTTTTTGAAATTTACTTTTAACCACTTTCTAATATATTTATATATATTTACTACTTTTTTCCAGCTAATATTAGTTTCAATAACTATGTTACTTCAACGTTACAAAATAAAATACATTACTCTGGACTTCGTAATGGCATGACTTCAAGAAATGCATCTACAATAACTGCTTCTTCATCATCAATCAAGTTAAATCCAGGATGTCATAAATTAAAAAGGAAGTTGGAACATTTATCTCCTATTCCATTGATTGACTTGACAACAGATCTAGAAGATGTACATGAAGTTAATAATGAAAACCTAATAGTAGGTATTTCCAAAGGTAATACATATATATACCTATTTTTTATCTTACACCTGAAATATCATATTGTATATACTTATAAAATTAAATATTTTACTAAAACAACTTTATTTTCTTACAGAATATTTGGATCATGGTGATCAAATTGTTGTATGTCAAACATGTCATGCAAAATTATGGACAAATGAATCCATAAGAGGAAAAAAAAAAAAGGAAACACAAATTATTCATTATGTTGTGGTTATGGCAAGGTTCAACTACCAGATTTAAAGAACGCACCACCAACTTATGAAAGAATGTTCAGAGCAACGGATTCTAAAAGCAAAAACTTCATGAAAAACATTCGAC